CACAAGGGAACTCCACACTCCGCAGCATCCTAAGGAACCCGTTTCCCTGCACCTAAGTTCGCTGACAGATGCCATGCACAGACGCCATGTGCCCTGTTGTCTCTCCCTTATCCACACGCATGTCAGCCCTCTTGCTTCATTGGCAGCGGGCAGCCGTCTCTGCGAACGGTCAAGACATCCCACGCACCAAGACAGAACCTCTCTTCCTTCCTTCATTGCATGCCCCCTTAGGTGTACCACACACTAGTGCCACGCAATAACATCCAAAAAGCAAAGCCATGTCCAGAGCATGCTTCCACTTAACACTGTGCACACACCTCCAACTCTCCGGCCTATCACCTACGCATCCACGGTCTGTTGGACACCTGCTATGTTTTATTCAACTCAAAGAATATTGATCCGTCTCGCATCGGCTCCCGCAAAACGATATTCCTACTCCTCACCTCCTGCATGGATTAACGTTCTCGTAAACTCAGAGCCACTCTGTGTACCACACACTAGTGCCACGCAATAACATCCAAAAAGCAAAGCCATGTCCAGAGCATGCTTCCACTTAACACTGTGCACACACCCGCAACTCGCCCGCCTATAACCTACGCAGCCACGGTCTGGTGGACACCTGCTATGGTTTATTCAACTCAAAGAAAATAGATCCGTCTCGCATTGGCGCGCGAAAAAGTATATTCCTACTCCTCACCTCCTGCACGGATTAACGTTCTCGTAAACTCAGAGCCACTCTGCCTTGCACTCTCCACTCGGCCACGATTTCCCAAGGCTCCCGGAACTACACCAGTGCTGCCAATCTTTCTCGTCCTTCCTCTCAGAGTGTACATCGCCACCGTAGCTGCTTGCCACGAATTGACGACGGCGAATGGCTGCAAATCGGCCGCCAATGACCTAAATACCGCGCACACCACTCGACTACAACGTCGAGAACAGTTGTAATGCAAACGCACATGTGTTTTTCCGTTGTTCCCAAACCATTATATAGCTGCTGACGCCTGCGACTCATTTCCAATTCCACTGGAACACACCGTTAGCGTTAGTTTGCTCTCCCTTCAGTTATTCTCAATGCGCACCTCCTGTGTCCCACGCCAGTCTCCACACATCACTACTATGCCGTTTTCCACTTGCCCCTCAGCTGTCCGTGAACCCCCGGCGAGCTCGCCTATCCTCTGCGCTTTCCTCGCCACTCCCCAATAGCATGCACTGTGCTGGCGGGAATGACGCGCTTGCGCAAACGCCAGCATTCAGCACTCCGTCGCATCTCTGCATCCGCCGTTATGACGCGTTCGATTGCTGCGGGTGCCGGAAACCCAGGCCGCACGCCACTCGCCATCTCTGGAACCTAGCCCAAATTTCAACCCCACAGAAACAAGGCACACAAAACAGCGCGACGCTCCGCCCAACCATGAGATCATCTTCCATACCGTGCCGCGCCCCAATGACTGCTCCACGGCCTCCAAAGGTGAAGCAAACGCACGGGCTGAATCAACAAGCGTGCGCGCCCAAAGCAGCCACCTTCACCTCACCCCATGGCATCCAACACCCTAACAATATTCGCATATGCTCTTCTCCAGGTACAGAAGTAGCACCCTGTACGGACACTCGCAGGCCGACAACCAAAAGCTTTTACTTCATAAAGCAAACCGAATAATGACCTGCACTTGGGCCTGTCCGTGCAACACTTACCTCTCCGCTGATTCATTAGTTCCCACACCCCGCCAACTGGGCGTTCCACTACTGCAGTGCCAATCCATGCAACAACGACCATTCCGACTATCCTGCTTATGGCAAGGCGTTGAATCGTATGCCCGCCCTTTGCAGTGTAAGTGCTGAATTGCCAGATGCGCAATGCGAGAACAACGGCGCCTCCGCTGCCCACAGGCGAGCGAACTGCTACACGCCACCTGCCCAAACAAAGGTACTCCACTCTCCCACAGCCTCCACCGATGTCTTTCTCCCAGTGCCTCACTGCACCGACAAATATGCTGTAGACATGCCGTGCGTCCAGTCTCCCCCCGCCCTACCCACACAAGTGCCTGTCCCGTTGCTTCACCGCCATCGGGCAGCTATCCCCAAGGCTGTCCAGATAGTCCACCACGCAGGAGGAAAGAACCGGCCATCCCTCACCCCCTACATGCACACGACGGTGCGGCCTGCACTGGGAGTATGCAGTAACGTCCAAAAACACAAGGCTAAGCCCAGCATATCCTCCCTCCTAACATTCCTCAGCCACTCACCGCTCTCCCGCCCAACACCCATTCATCTACGATATGCCTGGCGACTGCTGCACTGCCCCCAATTCAACGAAACTACGAATAGACCCTCCCCGCCCTCCCGTTCTACAGCTATCTTCCGAGGACTCACTTCCTGCACGCATTCACGTTCGTCTCAACTCCTTACCACTCTACTTTGCATTCTTGCCTCATTCATGTGCCAACGATCTCCCGGCTGCTTCAGCGCTGCTCACCTTTCTCGTCCCTCCTCTCCTTGAGTGTACAGCGCAACCGTAGCCGCATGCCACTTGCTTATGAATTGGCAAATGGCTGCGCATCAGCCGCCAAACACCGAAATACCGCGCACACCACTCGATCACAAAGTCGAACCCAGAGGCGCTGCAAACGTGCATATGGTGTCTTCTCGTTCACGAGCCATTACATGAACACTACGCATGCTAAGCCTTTCCGATTCATCGACGGTATACTGTTAGCGCCCTGGTGCTCCTTACAGTGGTTTGCAATGCTCATATCCTTCGTGTAGCGCCATTCTGTACCAATCACAGCCATGCCGCTTCCACCTTCCGCTCGACTGCCCATCAACGCTTCCCTTGTTCTCCGCTGCTCTGCGCGCACCTCTCCGCTCTCTCACCCTGTAAACTGCGCTAACGCGAAAGGCGCCAGTCCTCGAATGCCAACAAGCAGAGTTCCGTCACATCTCTGCAACCGTCGTTATGATGCATTCCGCTGCAGAGCACTGTGGGCACTGGACACCCAAGCCGCAGGCCACTTAGAACCATTCCGCAAACGCCTTCTCACCACTTCTGGCACCCAACCCAAACGTCGTAGCGATATGCACAAGATATTCGAAACAGCTTCACGTTGTTCCCAAACACCGAAACACCATGGACACCCTCGCCGCACTGCCATGAGCGCTCCTCCACCTGCACGGGTAACGAAAGCGCACATCATGAATTCGCATGCGAGCCCCACAAACGCAACCACTTCCACGTCATCCCCAGGTATCCGATAGCCAGTCGACGCTAGTGCATGCTCTTCTCAAATCGCCCAACAGTAACAGCGTGTGGCGGCGTTCACAGCCGGTGCTTAGCTTATACAAATCATCGTGCGAATTCACGCCCTCTCACACGCGGCAGTAGCCACCGGCGCTTCTTGTGTATGTTAATGCAATGGTCAAATTGACAAAAACGGCAGTTATATCCCAGTGACTTTCTCGTATCGCATCTGTCCATTTGTCCTTTTGGTTGCCCGTTGGCACATTGTGTCAATCCATTGGGCAGAGCCCGTTCCCCTCATTGGGTTATCGTTCCAGGACTGTCGTTTTAATTTACACCTCGCTCGTGCACTCCACCTTCCCAGAGCTGATGCGATAGCCGCTTGGCACTTACCGTTCACCCGCGCGCCTGCATTCGCTAGCCAGGTTCCTTAATAATCACGCAACTAGCCGTTCGCCCCATTGGCTCTAGACTCAAGCTGATGGCTACACGCATTATGGCAGCATCAGAACAATTTGCACATTTTATTTCCCTACAAAACAGCCCGAGATATTGCTGGAGGCTATCTCCACGAGACGCGCAATTCGCTGCGCCTCCGCGTACAACATCCAGCACGTGTCGTTGCCTGACTCTTGTGAAGGCTCTTCAGATCTGAAAGGAATATATATACTACCACGGTAGAGCCTGCAGGGGCATTTTTATGCGTGAATGATGAAGCTTAGTACTACGTCCGAAGCAGTGTTGCGCTCGCGCAATGCCATATGGAAGCACGCAGCTTCCCATTAACCGGAGTGGTGAAATTTGTTGTTGGCTCCTGCTTAAAGCAGAACGATTGTGTATAATTACTAGATTGAGCCAGACCGCTTAATCACAGCGTTGCCAAAAACCATGCACTACCCCGCCTGAACACGCATATTGGCTCACGCGAACCAAACGGCAGCCTATTCTGGGCCAGCTTCCGCTACGCATAACCTCGTTCTCACTTCCCCATTTCCAGTCCAGGGCGCCATGCGTTTTACAGAATGGAGGCCAACCCTGCAAAGTTTCACTGGCGCATTCGGCTTGCTGGCCGGGGCAAATACAGAGACGCTAAACCTAGCCTTGTATCTACAACTGTGTTCCTGCATGGCGTAGGCGCATTGCAGGGCGACTACTCGCAGCTAGTTTCCGACAATCGTGCCATCTTTAGAGCATCACAAGGGTCTCACAGCAGCAACGAGCCAGTTTGCATATCTATTCGCGCAGGTTAACCAGAACTCTTAGTGCATCTGTACACCCCGCGAATCCTACTGACTCCGTTGCTTTCTTTCAGCTGAATTTGAATCTAATACTCTTGTAATGGAAGGAATCACCTGTAGGCCACAGGTCTAAACATCATGCGTGGCGCCTGCTCGGCCACAACTCATTCACAGCGTGGCCTTCCTAAAGCCATTTGAGCATTTCTCCGACACCATACCGAATCGCCAGATAACGTTTAGCTTCCCTATCACTCGTTGTAGTACCTTGTTTCGTCGCCGGCATTCCCTCCAATGACGAACGTGCCAAAGAATTTCCCGGCTGTTTTTCTAGCCGAGTGCCGGCGGACTCTATGGACGGCGCCTCTACATGAAGCGGTACCATCCCGGCCCCGCCTGCCGCGCTCCAATGAGCGTTTGCAGTACGCGGCTTGTCCCACTCCACCTTGTCCAGCAATAAACGCAAAAATGTTTCAGTGTCCAACTCCTCAAGCGTCTATTTTGCGGCATATGTTTAAGCGCGTGCGCCTCACATTGCTCTCATGCCTGCACTCATACGTATGTACGTCTCGAGACGCTTCCTTTGAGCCAAAGCTGCACAACCCAGTAGTGACTTGTGCGATCGCACGTTTCAATCCACCAAACAGATACCCTAGGGAGCCAGGTGATCCGCTGCAGGGGAGCAGATATCCATCACTTAGGATTATGCAACATCGGGAGCTGCCATACTAACCTGTCAAACTGGACGCTCTCATCGGGAGGCCTGCACGCACTAACTGTGCAATGATAATGTGAAGGCGAAAAAGAAATCGTCTTCTGAGCGTTGAAACTAGCAGAGACAATGACTGGTACTAGTGCTGGAGACATCAGTTACGCGAACTATGCACATGTCACACTCTGCTGCGCCACAGGTATATCATCATGCTACGTGTAGCGGAAAGTGTTTGGGCGCCATCGGTAACCGGCGCCAGGAGAATCATCCACCTCCCATAATGGGATTCGAAGCAAGCGGTTTTGGCATACTGTTCCGGTGCGCCAATCCAGCTATTTTTGCTGCTCACAGTCTACATGAGTGTGCAAGACGCAACAAAGCACTTCGATACTTAGTCGCAGCCTGCTCAGTGAACTTTCGAGGTAACGTAGACTGCAGGAAATTAATCGAAACTATAAAGAATATACACCCACTAAACCATCAATCTCAATGCTGATTGTTTGACTGTAGCCTGATTAGGCACCTGCTCCTTAATACAACACTTACGCTTCCAAATGAGAATTTTGTGCGGAATGCGTGTTTTTTAACCGTTCCTCAAACGAATCTATCCACGGAAAGCGCATCTCCTTTAACGTTTAGAAAGAAGTAACTCTCCACCTACCTTCGACGCAAAATTTCTTTGACCGGACTGGATTATATGCGAGCCATTACCGTCACAGTATGACCAACGGGGAATCGGAAGCCTAGTGGGGACAGCACCATGAGCCCCAATACTGACTCTAAAATGCGCTGTTACGTTCGTGCAATGTGAAGAACAGCATACGTCTCATGTACGTTTCTCGCCGATGCTCAAAACTATGTGCAATAATTTGTCTGTTTGCAATCCCTTGTGGCAATAGCAATCCACTCACTATCTGGATTTCGCGGGAGCTAAACGTAGTTGGCTCTGGCTTGCTGGTGGCTGAGTTCACATTTTCCTCAACGGATGCGCAGCAGCTCCTGGGGAAAAGCGTGATGCTGGCATCTTTCCTATATTTCCACTTGGTTCTTCTACCAATGTCGCAGGCTGCAACCAGAGGTCAATATCAGTATGTGAGAGTTCTGTAATATGGCAGCGTATAAGATGCCGCCCTGGAAAACGTTCGTACCAGGGAACGTTCAGCGTAACAACGTACCTCGTTCTAAATACGCTGAGCATTGGCTTGACGTTTCTCAAAGGAGAGCATCATGGTGTTTCAGGGTCATTTTTCAAAGCAAACTCTAACCACATACTAATCAAGTATTTTTGACGTTTGTTTTGCATGCAGCAGCAGTTCTAGCTCTCAACGCGAATGCAATTCCTACTTGAACTTCGCATATCTCCAGGTTCCGACAAACCGGGTTCTCAGCCATGCTTCTATCACTTCATGGACAAGCCTTGAATGCCACTGCTGCAAAAAGTAAAAACTACACCAACATGGTTCATCAACGTGTGGGATCGGGTGTGAGCATTGACACATACCACACCACTTTCCTACCCCATATCAACTCCCCCAACATGGTTTTGCCGCACAGCAAACCGAATCTAAAAGCAGTCAATGCTCACATAAATCTTGCGTCACCGCCTAGACGGTTACGCATAGCACAGGCACTCTAGATTTCACGCCGGGCCAACTGTTGCCCCTCATAAACAGCTGCCTTCCCGAACCGTCGATATCGGCGGCTTCTCTATCTGCTCAAGTTGGGTATCCAGTATCCAGCGGCCATGACCATGCGTAGCTTCAAATAATTACGCCTTGCACTTCTGTAACCATGTCTTAGTGGTCGCCGTTGGTATGCCACCTCAAAATTCAAGCTGAACCTTCTAACTTGATGCACACCAGCATCTCCACTTGCGCAGAGGCTACGAAACGCTGCATTCAATACGTAGCACTATACTTGCCGTTTTTATTCATCCCTCGTCAACGACCCGCATCCTGGGCTGACGTCCTCCAGGCCAAGCGCAATTTCACTGAAAGTTGCGACTGTCTAATTTGAAAAGATCGCTAACAATCTCCTGTATCTAAAAGCACCGCAACACTATCCTTACGGTGCGCACGCCTACGTAATTGCTCGTTACCTATCCCTGCACCCCCGTGCAATAAGCGCGTCGATGTGCGTGTGTCAGTGATACGTGCAGCGCCAGCTATCCCCAACAAATTAGCCTAGCGCACACGTTTCCTGGTTTGGGTTGGCGCGACGCCGCGACAAGGAGCATTGC